CAGTGTCCCAGAAACTTGATGGTGGACTGGAAGTCCTTCTCCAACTTGCCATACAAGTGATTCTCACGGAGCCGTTGCAGAACCAGGCGCAAGTGGTGCAGGTGGCTGTCCCTCGATTTGGAGCAGATCAAAATGTCATCGAGGTAAACCACCACAAACTGATCAAGAAAATCCTGGAGGATGTCATTCATAAAGTGCTGGAAGATGGCAGGGGCATTGGTCCACCCAAATGGCATGACCATATATTCAAAATGCCTGTATCGGGTTCCAAACGCCATCTTCCACTCATCTCTGGGCCAAATCCACACCAAACTGTACACCCTGTGCAGGTCCAACTTCATGAACACAGTAGCCTCCCGGAGCTGCTCCATCAGTTCCAGAATCAAAGGCAGAGGATACCTATTGCACACTGTGATGGTGTTCAGCCGACGGTAGTCACAGCACAGGGGCAAGTCACCTGTCTTTTTTTTTATGAACAGAACCAGAGCAGACAAAGGTGAATCAATTCACTGAGGGTCACAGGACAGTCGACTCATGCCAGCTCATCCTGCAACTCATCTGCCAGCCCATCTTGGAATGTGTCCATAAGTGCTGCCTCATTCCAGGCTGAATCCTGGCTAAGCAGCCGGAACTCACTGACATACTCCTGCAAGGATTGCTGTCCCTGCTGCAAGTCTTTCAAATGACGAGCAGCAGTCTGGGTCTTAACAGGGTCCTCATACATTACCCTCAGATGTTGACAAAAACCCCAGAAGTCATTCAACAGAGCACTATCTTGCACCAGCAAGGGTGTGGCCCAGCGTGCTGCAGAGCCAAAGAGCAGGCTAATTACAAAACCCACCTTATCCTGGTCAATGGGGAGGTCCTCTGCTCTCAAGCTAATGAATAGCTGGCACTGTCCCAAAAATGCTGGGAACATAGCTTGGTTGCCGTCAAACTTGTCCGTTACAACCAGTGGATTAATTTAGCAACTCAATCAGGTCTAGCTTTGTAGTCAGTTTGCACGATTTTGCTGCACTCGCATATTAAGTGTGAAACAGTTTCAACTTCGTCATTGCAAATTCAGCATTTTGGATTGTTAGTGGATTTTTGTATCTTTGCTTTCATAGCATTAGTTTGTAGTGCTTGTTCTTGAGCAGCATGTATTAAACCTTCCGTTTCTTTTTTTATGGTTCCTCTCTTAAGCCATGTCCATGTCAAATTGTCATCACATTTTCCTTCCATGTTTTTCAAGTGCTGTCCATGCAAGGCTTTGGTTTTCCATCTATTTAATCTGTCATCCAATTGTTTTTCCTTATATTCTGCCTTTGTTTCTGTTGTTTTTATAATGTTCTCTGTTTTCACAGCCTGAAGCAATTTTTCTGTACTTTGGTTCACACAGTCATTCAAACTTCGTTTTTCTTCTTCTACAGTTCAATGGATTTGCAATAGCCTTCTGCTTCCTATTCTTCGTAGATGTAAAGTGTGGTACATATTCAAAAGTTTACATGTTTTCTGGCCCAGGTTTTCCAATTTAGCAGCAGTCCAGTTGATGATTCCAGCTGAGTAGCGTATCACTGGAACTGCCCATGTATTAATGGCTTTAATTATGTTTCCAGAATTCAGCTTTGATTTTAATAGTTTGCGGACCCTCCTGATGTATTCCTTTTGCGTTGACTCTTTCACTTTTCCATTCAAGATATTATCTGCTTCCAATATGCCTAGGTATTTGTAACCATCATCCCTTGCTAATGCTTTCACTATGCTTCCATTTCCCAGTTCTATTCCTTCTATTTTTTTTCCATTTTTCCTCACTTCCATTATTATTATTATTACTATTATTATAGAACTTATTCCAATGTAGTGAACATTGTTGTAAATATTATTATTATTAATATGATTATTATTTCCTAAAAACATTTGTACCCAGACAACACACTGTTTAACTAAAAATGGAATTTTTATATGCTATAAAGTAAAAAATATATTTAAAAATATATCCTATATAATTTTATTTCCATTAATTGATATTCAGTTTTATAACAATTTTAATTTAACTGTTGCAGATTAATTTATTTTTTCTATAGATAAGAAATAAATCAAATATATGAAACCAAAAACTTTAGAATATATAGGAAATTATACCAGAGTTTTGAATGGAATAGTATGAACAATAAATTATTTAAAAAACAAAAATAATATGTAATTATTTTTATTGCCTGCTGGACAATTCTGAAGCTTTTATAACAACTGCATGTTCCTCCATTATAGAAGTATAAACATAAAGATACCTAAACAGAGAAAATAAATATGGTTGCTTATATTTTTCCCTGCAGGTTTGCAATGCTTTAACAGAAATACACTCTCTGAATTAAATCCTACATAGCAACAAGGATAGAATTAAGCTTAGCCATGCTAGATTCTTTCAAAAAAAAGATTAAGGGTACTGTGGAAACATAATGATCAATAATTGTGACATAAGCATTTTATTATATTTTTGAGCTAACAAGCACAAAATAGTAATATTCCTAAAGCTAACAACCCTACATTCTGAATGTCATTGCCATCAATGGCATTAAACTTGTGTTACATTGTCTTTCCAGGTTTAACAATGTTGATGGAACTTATACATACTTTATGATACCAAAGTGTCAAGTAAACTCTGCATAGATATAACTAATGTTGTGTCATTTACTTTCAGTATATTTCCATGACAGACAGCATAAATCTTTACAAGTAAACCTTGACTTGCAACTATTCATTTAGTGACCATTTGGAGTTACAATGGCATTGAAAAAGTGACTTATGTCAGTTTTTCACACTCATGACCATTACAGCATCCCTGTGTTCCTGTCCTTCTAATGAAGCACTTTTTCTTGGGGTTACTAGGATAAGAAAGTGAAAGTATGTCAATTACAACAGTATAGGTCAGTGATGGCTAACCTTTTCAGCACCGAGTGCCCAAAGTGTGTGTGTGTGCGCATGCATCCCCAAAATGCAATATGTGCATGTTCCCCATGCATGTGCCTCCCCCTCCCCCACACATGCCCCCTGCCCCTGCACATGTGCAGCAGAAACCCAAAGACCAGCTAGCCAGCAAGAGGCACATGCACGCATGCGCAGCAGAGCTGAGCTGGGACGATGGCTTGCATGCCCACAGAGAGGGCTCTGCATGCTACTTCGAGCACACGTGCCATAGATCCACTATTACAAGTATAGGTAAAAGGCAGGATTATTCTTTTATTTTTTGCTTTTCTCTAAGTTTTGTACTTTAATTCCAATAAGCTCTGCATAGTATTTAAAAGTTAATGTGTGTGTGTGTGTGTATAATACATATGTATAATACATACACACACATGTATGTATATGTATTATGCACACACACACGCACACACACATGTTTTGTAAAGTCCACCAATTATCTACTGTTCTTAATAATAAATAATCAACATGCCTACAAAGCACTAGTCTGTTAATCTAATTAATTTTGCTACTTACAAAGGTCGATATGTTAGAAAAAAATAATCTGTTTTCTAGAAATATTTTCACCTTTGTTGTTGTTGTTAGTTGTGAAGTCGTGTCCAACCCATTGCAACAACATCCATTTAAAACTTTCTTAAATCACAATTTTGTTAAAGTATTTCCTTTTAAATTAAAATCCTTTAATAAGATATTTTCCCCCTAATCTTAGTTTCAGGAAGAAGGCAACTGATTGGAGATTTTGATCTTCCATGCTGTTTATAATATTGGTCTTAGGTTGTAAATTAGTAAGATCCAAAGGTGTTCAAGAAAATGAGGGGTTTTTTTACTATGAAACATCTGTATAGATTGCATAGTGGCTAAGAATGTGTTGTAAATGTTTTATTTCCAAGTTCCTCCACTCAAAATCAGCCAGGAGAGACTCAATTCCTGTAGTCTTCTTATAAGAAACAGAAGTCATTCCCAGATCTTTTTTCCAGAGATTTTCTTCTGCTAGAAAACTGACTCCTAGCTGGTGATTCCATGATAGTGCTGTCCCCAGTTGTGAAGCTGCTTGCAAGGACGTCTGATCCACCAACAGTCTTTACTCAAAAATCATTGAGTAGAAGTAGAGTTGTTTCTGTCTGTATTCTTCTATTAGGCTTTTTTTTACTCCAGCCATAAACCATTTTTAGAAGGTAACTGCTACACAACTTAATATCCAATATATTTTTAACACTTTTTAAAACAATATATAATTCTTCATCCTTAGTGAAAATTCAGTATAACATCCTTATAATACTGAAATAATCTCCAAGAAATCATTATTGGCATTATTTCCAGGGAAATGATCTGGCACTGCAGCTTTATTAGTGGATTTCATGTATCTTCCAGGCAAACAACTAGAGTATAGTTGACTTCAAATGGAAATGTGTGTGTCTTTACCTGCTTGGAAAATGTGAGGACAATGACCAACAATACCATTTACTGACATACTCATAAATAATATTACAAATGATTATTGTTGACAGATAGATATAACCACATTTGCCCAAGCCTCTTCTTTGGAAACTAAGCTGGCAGTTGTTTCAATCAATCATACAATATCCCATGGTACAATGCTACACAAGAAACGAGAATGTTTAACCTTTTAATGTCAGAATTTCAAAAATAACAAATTGAGATGGTTTTCAATATTTTTCTTAAAAAGTCACACCCAGTTATATTATTGGGTAATATCGAGAGATTGTGAATTGTATAGGACCAAGGAGAAGGGGGATATATTAAAACAAATGTAGCTGATAAAAAAGGAATGATAATTTTGTGTTGAGAAAAGAGTTTAGCTTTATCCTCTGTGAACATTGTATATCATAAACCAGTTACACACCACAAAAATATTAATGCCTACTCTTTTTCTCTCTGTGTGTGTACCAAGAAATTAGAAAAACACTTTGTTTTTGCATTCAGAAAAACAAAAAATTCCTTTTGTCCCAAAATATGATAATAAATTACTGCATTTATATCAGAATGTGGTTGTTATTAATCTTTATTTTTCTTTTCAGAGTTGATGTATACAGTTGAACTTGCTGGAGGGCTTGGTGCTATTCTGCTACTACTTGTTTGTTTAGTGACTATTTACAAGTGCTACAAGATAGAAATTATGTTATTCTACAGAAACCATTTTGGTGCAGAAGAACTAGATGGAGGTAAGCAAATATACTTCAATATATATTTTACTTGAATGTGAAACATTCTAGTAGACAAGCTGTACTATTATTAAGAGCATATGATCACTAATGAAGATAAAAATATTCATTGATTTTTTCTTGTGAAATTTTACTGCAACAGCTATTGCATCACTCCAATTTCCTAACCTCAGAAACAACATATCATAAATTCTGCTTCTTACTGTTTCCATTTTGTTACTTTCTAAAGTACTGTACAAGAGTTGTTTGTGTTTTTTCATATTACTATGAATATTGAATATTAATTATTATGAATATGGTGGACCAGCCAAGATGGCACTGACGATGGCTGCTTCGGTGAAATGCTCTCTAAGGTTTCTTTATTCCTTATTATTATCTGCAATTCACTACGGATTTCATACTCACAAGACCATCTGTTAAGAATTAGGCAATGTTTCCTTAAGGAGCAGCTTTCTGATTCCTCAACCCCACCCCCTATCTTTGCAAACATGGAGGGGATTCTAACTAATTCCCCAGTGCTATGGATTACAATAAACAAAGGAGGAAAGCAGCAACGCCAAAAAAGGAGATGAGGTAAATGAGCGGGAATTTTAAACAGACTAAGGAATGTGGGGGGAAACTCCCTTCAATCTTTCAATCTTTCTGACTAATTTATGCTCACTTGCTAACAAAATGGATGAAATTCATCTCCTAAATAGATGGAATTCTGATTTCTATAATTCTGCTGTTCTTTGTTTTACTGAAACCTGGCTTAATCCATAAATTCATAGGGACAACACCATATACATCCCAGGACATTTAGATCAGACAGCATGTAAATTGTCTCACCAGAGGCAAAAATACTTTAGACCACTACTACACAACAGTAAAAAATGCTTATAGGTCTTTACCACGAGCAGCTGTGGGACACTCTGACCACTGCATGATTCACCTTGTACCTGCCTAAAGACAAAGACTTAAAACCATGAAATCAACAATTAAATCAGTGAGGATTTTTGGTCTAATGAGGCAAAGCTGAAACTCCAGGCCTGCCTTGATTGCGCTGATTGGAATGTTTTTGAAGATGCCTCTGCAGACCTAGATGAGCTCACAAATACTGTAACATCATATGTCAGCTTCTGCAAAGACTTATGTGTATCAACAAGAAACCTGCAAATATATAGAAACAATAAACCTTGGTTCAGAGCTAAACTTAAGCAGCTACATCCTTACAAAGAGGAAGCCTACAGAAAAGGTGACAGAATGCTATACAATCAGGCCAGAAACATATTAACAAGAGAGATCAGAGCAGCAAAAAGAAGCTACCCTGAAAAGTTAAGGAATCAGTTCTCAACAAATGAACCAGCAAACATGTGGAAAACTCTTAAAAACATCACTGGCTTCAGCAAACCTCCTTCCCAGGCATAAGGGAATCAACAAATAGCAGATGACCTGAATGTGTTTTACTGCAGGTTTGAAAGGAAACTACAGCCGCCTATCTCCACAACCCACATCTCAAACATACAAACAACAGCCAAGCCTCCTACAACTGGCCCCAATCCATTAAGTTCACAACGTCTGGTGATCACAGAAAAAGAAGTGCAAGACAAGTGTGCTTTCTCCACTTCTTTTCTCCCTATATACCAATGGTTGCATCTCAAACAATCCATCTGTTAAAATACTGAAGTTTGCTGATGACACAACAGTGATTGGTCTCATTCTAGACAACAACAAATCCGCATACAGACATGATGTTATACAACTCACTTCATGGTGTAACCGGAACAATCTGGAACTGAACACACTCAAAACCGTAGAAATGGTGGTAGACTTTAGAAGAAACCCTCCCATACTACTACCTCTTACAATACGAGACAAAACCGTATCAACAGTAGAGACCTTCAAATTTTTAGGTTCTACTATATCACATGACCTAAAATGGACACCTAACATCAAAAATGTCATCAAAAAAGCACAACAAAGAATGTTCTTTCTGCGCCAACTCACAAAGCTCAAACTGCCCAAGGAGCTGCTGATACACTTCTACAGAGGAATCACTGAGTCTATCATCTGCACCTCTATAACTGTCTGGTTTGGTTCTGCAACCCAACAGGAAAGACACAGACTTCAGAGGATAATTAGGACTGCAGAAAAAACAATTACTACCAACCTGCCTGTGATGACCCGTAGTGTCTCAAAAATAACACAAAAACTAAAACATGAATCAAGGTCTTGTAATGCCTTCAACTTAGCTTCGCTGTTTTATTAATCACAGTTTAAATTCAAAAAGTAGATAATGAAGCAAAGGGAAACCAAAAACAAACCGTATTGATGAGAGTTCCAAGGCAAACCAAGATAATTAATCACACATTCCAGGAAGATAACTGGGGAGAATCCATGGGAAGAACCCCAACAAAAATAAACCTCATCTAAGGAAAGCAGTAATTTGACTTCAGGGTCTGTGAACATGAAGTTCCAAACTCTTATACAGAGCTCACAGCTGCAACTCATGAGGAGGATCATGGCCCTCTCCTCCTGAGTAGAGCACACTTTTCCATGATCCTCTCATCCCTGCGTGCCCTAAGGTGGATAGGGGATGGTCCTGGATCCTCCTCTGATTGCTCAGCTGGCCTCTGACCTTCCCCAGCCTCTTCCACCACCTCTGCAGCCATACTTCCACTCCCTGTTGGCTGTTCCTCCTCTTCCTCAGAGGCAGTCTCCACCAGGCGCATGACACTGCCTTCAATCGAGGACCTGTATACTGCACGAGTCAAAAAGAGAGCTGTGAAAATATTTACAGACCCCTCACATCCCAGACATAAACTGTTTCAACTCCTTCCCTCAAAATGATGCTATAGAGCACTGCACACCAGAACAACTAGACACAAGAACAGTTTTTCCCCAAAAATCATCACTCTGCTAAACAAATAATTCCCTCAACACTGTTCAACTATTACAAAGTCTGCACTTCTAATCTTCTCATCACTCCTTATCACCCATCCCTTCTCACTTGTGACTGTATGACTGTAACTTTGTCACTTGTATCCTTATGATTTTTATTGACTGTTTCCTGGTATGATTTGATTGTTTATTGTACCCTATGATTATCATTAAGTGTCAGACCTTATGATTCTCGATTCCTGATGAATATATCTTTCTTTTATGTATACTGAGAGTATTTACACCAAGACAAATTTCTTGTGTGTTCAATCACACTTGGCCAATAAAGTATTCTATCTATCCAACTATGAGTATTTATGTTCTAGTCATATATAGACTAATAATTGTTTATATTCTTAATAAATACTTAAGAAAAAATGGTAAAATTATGCTCCTTAATTTGCCTCTGGGCTTACAATGATTACAGAATTTATTGTACAGGTTTAACCTATAAAACCTTTCATGGGTTTATACTCTGTGGTTAAAATACCTTTTATCTAACAGTATTAATTTTCAGTAAATCCAGCTAAGTTATCTCACAATTTTAGCCCACCTATGCATTATCCCTCAAATTGCCCAAAAGTGTTTAATGATTAACAGATTAACAGAGTTAGAAGGGACCTTGTAGGTCTTCTAATCTAACCCAGGGATCACCAAACTTTTGAATCTCAGGGACCACCAAACTCATAATTTTAAATCCCGTGGACCATTAATATGAATTTTGACTTAACGGTGGCTTGCTGACTATGGTGAGAAAGTCGGTCCCATATTCCAAGGCTGCAGTAGTCATAAGATAGGCTCTTTGGTCATCCCAGAGCAGCAGAAGCTGCAGAAGTCTTTCTTTCTCTCCCCCAAACTCTGTCAGAAATGAATTTTTGTGAGACTTGTTGCATTGGCACAACCTCTTGGAGCAGGATACCTTGCATGGTCCCAAAGACTCATTTCTGTCAGAATTTGGGGGAGAGTAAGAAAGACTTTTGCTGCTTCCCTTGCCTGGAGCCAAAAGCAGAAGAAGAAAGGAACAGAACCTCTTATTGGAGATTTTACAGTATCCTTCCCCCATCATGTCCATCAAGCCACGCCCACAGAACTGGTAGTAAAATTTTTTTGAATCCCACCACTGTTCTGAAGGCAAGCTGTTCCATTGATTGATTGCTCTCACTTTCAGAAAATTTCGCCTTATTTCTTGGTTGAATCTCTCCTTGATCAGTTTCCATCCATTATTCCTTGTCTGGCCTTCGGGTGCTTTGGAAAATACCTCTTCCTTTCTGTGGTATCCCCTCAAATATTGGAACACTGCTATCATATCTCACCTGACCTTCTCTTCACTAAACTAGTCACCCTGGGTACTTGCGTTCATTCTATGTTTTAGCCTCAGTCTCTAATCTAATGGTTGCTCTTCTCTGCATTTTTTCAAGAGCCTCAACATCTTTTTTATAGTGCGGTGACCAAAACTGGGTGCAGTTTTCTAGGTGTGGTCTTACTAAGGCTTTATAAAGTGGTATTAGTACTTCACTTGATCTTGATTGTATCCCTCTATTAATGCAACTTAAGATTGCGTTGGCCTTTTTGGCTGCTGCCACACACTGTTGGCTCATATTTAATAGGTTGTCCACTAAGACTCCAGGATCCCTATCACAGTTACTGCTATTAAGCCTGGTTTCACCCAGTCTATATGTGTACTTTTGGTTTTTCTTATTTAAATGTAAGACTTTATTTTTCAATACATTGAATTTCATTTTATTAGATAAGGCCCAATGTTCAAGTCTGACAAGATCCACCTGGATCTTAAGCCTAGGAGAGTGACGGCTAACGTTTTTGTCATCGCGTACTGAAAGTGTATGTGCGTACCTGCACCCACAATGCAATGCATTCATGACCCCCCTGGCCACCTGAGCATGCATGCATGACCCCCCTATGCGCTCTGCCCACCTGCACATGCATGCGCATCTCCAGCACACATGTTTCCCCCTGCAATATCCAACAATCAGCTGGCTGGTGGGGGCATGCACACATGCACAGTGGATCAGTTCCAGGTGACAGCTCATGTGCTGGCAGAAATGGCTCTGCATACCACTTCT